GGCGATGGCGCAGAAGAATGCAAGAGATAATATAAATCCCGGGGCCATAAAGTGAGTGACTGGCGGATCACGAATTCCCAGAATTGGATCTTCGAGCTGTCATACAATTGATATTCAATTAAACAATTAATTTAAAATCAATTTTATATCATTTCTACAAAATATGCAAAATATGCAAACAATTACATGAATGGGCGGATCGGCTAAGGCTTCCGGCATTTTATTGCTTTTAAGAATTTCTTTTGCAAACAATTGATACGATTCGTGAAGTGTTTGTCGTATTTTGTTGGCAGCGAATTGACCTAAAAATATATATTAAGCATTCAAATGTATAGTAATAGAGTGGACAACATTTCTTACTGGTCATATCGAGGTAGAGTTTAATACTACTCATGTCAATGGTCTCAGCGTCGGTCTCGTATCCATCGATTGCTCGGGCTATTAATGCTTTGGAAAAGTTGGTGCCGATAGCTATGAGTGCTTTATTATCACCGTTTTTCACTGATTCGTATCCGCTCTCAAACGAATCGTAATTTTTCTGTGTAATTGTATAGTTATTAATGTTTTGCAGGAATCCTGTGCTATATTTGGGGACTAATTCGCCATTAAAAACAGCGATGGGTATGTCGTACGGGTCTCGACCCAAACATAAGAAAAAGAGAGCGCCTATGGGTAGAGAATATAATTGGTTAGAGAACTGATTGAATTAACTAATACAGTATCGATGGAAATAGGCATACATTGAACGGCGGGTACAATAGCGGTGAATATAAACGCTAAAAAATAGAAATAGAAAAATTAGTAACTAGGTAAATAGTAAATTATAGTTAATTAAGAAATTACCTGGTAAATTCCTATACATTCGGATCACATTCTTAAGAAAAAGTGCTTCACTTCTGGCGAAATGGTCGGCAATTTTGTTTCGTTTCATCAATATTTTTGACGGCTTTAATGAATTGGTTTTCTGAAGACTATTATTGTTAACGATCTTGACTTCATTCAACCCATTCTCGTCATTGGCAACGGTTTGTGTGTTTTGAGTCACGCCTTGGCTTTTGTCGTAAATATTCAGATCTGACTCTTTATTATTGCATAATCTAAGGAAGACGTCCTCCAAGTTGTGAAGATTTTGTCGTTTGATGAGAGCCTCAGGGTTGCCCTCCTCCAGAAGCATTCCCTGTCTCAAGAAGGCAACTATGTTTGCATTGCGCGCCTCTTCGATATAGTGAGTCGTTATGATAACAGTTATGCCGTCTTTGGCCAACGCTATCAAGTGTTTCCAAATGCTCTGTCGTAGCACCGGATCGATGCCTACTGTCGGCTCATCCAACACTAGAAGCGGTGGTTTGTGTACCAGAGCTGCCGCTAACGACACCCGACGCTTCTGACCCCCACTTAATTTGGCTTTAATTTCAAAGTTAATAGTATTTTGTTAATTGCTAACACAGAATATTCTTAATTCATTAACACATAACTGTTATATACATGTACTATGAG